CCCCCCCCTCGCATCTTTCTGACCTAAAAACTCGCTTCTTTTCCCGTAGAGACGTATGGTTCCCGTATCCGAAATGAATTTATCACGTACTGCGTTTAAAATATTCTGCCCAAGAGATCGCTTTCAATTGTGCATATAAATGGGAAATTAATCTCGAATGTAATTATATTAGCACTGGGAGTATTCGGAAGAAAAAAAGAAACAATCAATGTCCCAAATATCTTGCTGAATTTTACGACGTAGAGACCTAGCCGCTCGCGCTTTGATTCGGGAATCGAAACCCGTTTCGCGGCGAACGTGTTTCCGATAACGCGTCGCTGTGGCAGCGGCCAAAAACGATGGATGCAGTAGGAGTCGTAAAAGCAACAGCACGAATCTGGATTTCGTTTTATTGACAACGCGCCAAATACCCGGATTCCATATTTATGACTGGCCGGTCGTCTTCTCCTCCGTGTTGTACCTAACACGTCGCTCACTCGCGCGTTCATCCCGTGAAAGGAGACGGACAGCGGGCCGGAGCTCCAAAACAGGCTGCTAGCCCGTCTCGTTCTCACTCCTCCCCCTTGCCTCCTCCCTGCCCTCAGCAGCTATAAATTTGTTTCGTTTATACGGCCGTTTTAAAATCATTCCCCGGTCAGGTGTACACCTTGTTAAGGCCTAAACTCGTGGCCATTTAATCGCTCGAAACTTGTGGCTATATGTGGTTAGTACGGCCTCTTAAAGTCCCACCTACGGTGCATCTTTGTCCTCCTTTGCACCGTAAACTTACGAAATATGTTTACGTTTCCAACCCGAGTATGACCGACGGAAGGAGACGGTCCTTTCTGGTCAAACTTGGACTGTACGCGACTCTACTCGAGCGTCGAATGCGTGGCATCGTATTGTTTCCCAAGTGAAAAACACGATGGAATTGTCACGGTGGTTTGGCGTCGATTCGAGCGTTCAGACGATTTGTCGGGGTTTTCTTTCGCCGGCGCTCTTAGGGCAACCGCTAGGTCGACATTCCATGGCGGACAGCACAGTTACCTTGAAAATCCACCTCGGATATGTCTCGATTAGTTCGCGGCTGGTGGGTTACGGTGCTGGCATGATATTCCATTACGAAGGAAATGTAAATATAATTGTAGCGTGCTGACATAACGGTAAGATAATCCACGGAGCGGAGGCGCTGCCACTGCAATAAATCGTAATTTATGATCCCTATATACGCCCGCCGGTATCGTCCGAGAAATTCAAGACTATACAGACAGAGACTTAGAACTTGGCTCTCTGTCTCTTTCTTTTGAAACTCCCCTTCCTCTTTCTTTCGCTCTTTCGCTCTCTCTTGTTTCTATCCACTCTCTTCCCGCTCGGCGGAACTGAGAGGGCAGAGACTCTCGATCTGGGTCCGATGGGCATATACTTACAATGTGCTGCCTTACCTCTCCATAATCTATCGCCGTCTCTGTCCAGTCTGCCCCTCTCTCCGACTTGGACCCGCCAGTTTCTCCGTCTTTATCGCGCCCGTCCGCCTCGTTTATGTCTTGTTCTCTTAGCTTCCTCTCGAGCTCTTGAGCACCAATAAATTAATTGCAGAGATTTACGTATCTCGCCCGTAAACCAGTCAGCGAGACTAATGCTCGGCCTCTAATTACATAATTATATGGCATTATGTTACGACGGTCAATTAATACGTACGTACAATGATTCGAAAGCGCGATTTGCGAATCGCGATAATAAGTTGCGTTTCCTCGCGATCCCGTGCGATTCCGCGCAAAGTGTCATGCTTCAAATCACCGAATGCGCGTATGATGCATGCGCGGCGTCGATAAGCGATCGTAATTTATCGTCCACGAGGATGACAGTGAACGCGCGTCGGTTCTGCTTTACGGCGAGTATCACGGGGCGGCTCTCCCCGATTCCAATTGCTCGCGCTCGCACGAAACATTTCGTATATGGGATATTACGCGTTCCACGAGACATTTCATATCATAATGACGGCCCCGACAATGCGGGAATGCGTCAGAGCGCAAACCGATATTGCCTAATGCCGTTACTCGGTCTTCGAGATCTCGCTTCTCCTCCTACGCGTAAATTTCGCGAGATCGCCCCTTCGAGGGGTTCCTCGATGACTATTACTTCCTCTCAAGGACGCATTCTCGTGATTTCCAAGAGACATTTTTTCCCTCAACGGGAAGGAAACGTACGGCATAAACGAGCGGGGGTGGAATATGAGATGCGGGCAACTGATTTATTTAAGGGGCAGGCCAGACATCCGGTTTGTCGAATTACGCTTTAAGAGTGCCCATGGTGGACTGGCAGATACAAACGGAGACGGACGACGGGAGGAACGTGCGAGCGAGAGGCAACGGCGTGGAACAAGAGCGCGTAGCTCGTCGACCCGTTAACCGTTTATCATTGCATCGACACGAGTCACGCGGTGGACCCTACTGGCCACTTAAAAAACGGCGATTCAGCCTTTAGTAGGAAGTGACGTCAGTCTTGGAGGTATATCGTGAGCCACGTCTCTCTAAACGCGACGTAAACAGCTTCGCTACACAGCTTTCATCGTACGGCCCAAGTTTGTTGACTGGACGATGATAATTTCACGAGAACGTTCATCCCAGATCCCCCCCACCCCCCTCCAATAATTATCGTTAATTGCGACGTGCTTCGCTTCGTGCTTTTAGCACAAAATTTGACCATGCGCTGCAACGCCTGAGAGATTGCTTAAGAATTCCAGCAGCTGTCTCGCGCGACTTTTGCATTAATTAGGCGCAATCTTTCCCGAGGCTGGACTTATTGAAACGATGCCGCGCACGGCCAATTACCGTAAGCATCCGAAGATTATCCGTCTTGACGACTGCGATCCCTCGTTTCGCGCTGGATGCCAGTAGGAAACGGTCCGGCGACGACCGATGCATTATTAATGTCCCCTCGCTCGTTACCACTCTCGTATTTACTCGCGCGTGCAATCTATCGGCGTCCCTAAGCAAATAGCCATTCAAGGATCGTGAGTAATTAGTCAAATCGAAGAGCGACTTCTCATTTCATGCCTATTGTGTCCGTGCCTGAGATTCCCCGGCAGGAAAATCCTCGTTTATTTATTTCACATGGACCTCTCAGTGAATTGTCATTAGGAACGTTCATTCTTCGAGTCACTTTCATTTTTCTTTTGCTCGAAAGTTCGAGCTATTGGTTCTTGAAATAACGCAAAAAATACATAGTTCCTATCTTTTCGTTTTCTTGAAACTGGAGGCACATATCTTTATCTTGTCAAGTAATTACATTTCTTCAATCAGAGTAGTCACTTTTTATTCTAATTAATGAGAACTTTGGTAATGTATAATACAATGATAAATGCTCTCGCGACTTGTTTATCATTCGTTGTATTTCGCATAAATTTCATCGAATGTCCGCTCACGCCGGGCTCCTGTAAACCCAATAAATTCATGTGACGCATCTCCGCTCTAGCAGATCCTCTAGAGTTGACCGTGTAACGATTTCAGACGAGATACCAGAGCAGGCAATCGAGGGAGAGAGCGCGTCGGTATATTATCGCGAAGATGACGCTCATGACAGCATGTGGGAGTAGCTGTCACTCATTGTTGCCCGGCCAGACTTGATATACCCAGACATTTCGCTTCGTGATATCGAGAGATTCGCCTGCTTCAAATTCTTGCCCTCCAACCTCGCGCCATGGGATCAATAAACTCGCAAACACCATTTTTTTTTAAGATCCGTCTTCTGCAAAGTACGGAAAGTCGCTTTCGAGGCGATAGCTGTGCCAGGATGTAGTGTTCGGGCGGAAAAATTCACCGAAAAATGAAGTCAGTGACCCTGAAAAAAAGCCCGTCCGTTCAGCGCGCGCGATCGTTATGAAGAATCATTCAATGAACGCTCGCCTCGCGGCTGTAATAACACTTCGAAATGCATTAGCGGGCAGCAACGAATTGCCTTAGATTGATCTACGATTTGTTATTTGTGCACCGCCAAGTAATTCGTGCCAAGGGGGAAAGTTGGTTGAACCCGTCGATATATCCCTTTCCCTCGCGATCACACGCGAAAAATCTCATTCGCGCGCATTCGTCAACGACGCGAAACATTTTCTCGCACGTCCATTTCATATCCAAAACTACATTCGCGCATTCGCGCACGGCGGACTGATTCGCGAAACGAGCCTGCGTTTCGCGCGCGAAAGTAATTCCGCGCGTGTCCCGACGCGGATCCGCGGACGTCTCGTTTCTTTCCTCCTGCGGCGACGGATTCTCCACGGGCGTCCATTATCACACGGCTACACCTACGGAATAAACGATTGAATATTTACGGCGGGCATTCGTCGCGCGCGCGGCTTCCACCAGCAAATCCGTTGATTCGTAAGTCGTGCGCGTCCTGTCGGGCTCCCCCCCCCCCACCCGACTCATTTAGGTATGCCTGCAGCATTTTCGTGGAGAGATACGTGTGCTCCGTCTTTAATCGAGATCGAGATCGGCCTGACGCGCGCGCGACCGTCAATGGTCCGTGTATTTTGATATTGTCTTATTTTTATACTAAATAGGGTTGTGAAAAATATAAATGCGTCAAGAATATTTTTCATCTGTAACAGAAATCCTGTCTGAGAGTGTATACTCTCAAATATTCTTGACGCATTTATATTTTTCACAACCCTATTTAGTATAAAAATAAGACAATATCGAAATGAAATCAGTAATTCTTATTCTTCTCGATCGAATTAAAAAAGATTGACTTACTATTAACTAGTATAATACTCTCGTATTAGGAGCCTACCTCATGATAGGAGACTCTCCTCTATATCAGGGTGTCTAAGTCACCAGTGATAAATAAAAATTGAAACCGAGCTTTTCGTTGCTCCAATTGGCGATACAATTAATTAAATGTTACATTGGCACGATCCGAGTGTCAGGTCCTTATCAAGTAAAAGAACTGCAAACCGACATGTCACAATTTGATGAAGACGGTAAGAACTGCAAAATTAATTTGCGACTTTTTCTGCATTACAGAGGCCGCCTTCCTCGTCGCTTTCGTATCCCGGCGCGGGTGCTAACGACGACGCCCGCAGCCCCGGAAGTGGTGGCACACCCGGACCCCTGAGCCAGCAAGCGCCGGCCAGTTTGGACTCAGCGGATCCAGGTGAGTACGATTATCGCGAAGGAACAATTGCGCAACGTGCGCGGGACGATAACTGCGTATTTGCGTTGCGCTTAACGACGAGCAGCGCGCGGCTGCCTGGACATTAAGAGTCGCGTCGCAAATACACGGGCGCGTAGGCGACGGGCTATGAGGAATTTTCGGATCGACCGGTCGCGACGGGTCGATAGGACTCGAAGTAGGCCTCTCTTCCGCGCGCGGAAGCGGGGCGAGAAACGCACGTCCAGGCACGGCTCGCGCGGGTGACGACGGCTAGGCAGGCTAATGACAATATCACGCGACGAGCAACGAGTTGATGACAATCAAGACGCGCGGCTAGTCGGGACCCCACGGGCCCCCCTTCTACACGCCCTTCAAATTTTACGAACACGGACGCGAGTGTCTACACCATCAAACTCGCGGCGAAGCCACCGTCGAGGCCTAATGAGCAGTTGGTCGCATTGGCGTAGTCGGCGAGAACATTATTGCATAACAATAAGTTACGGCGTTTCATTTCTCCGGGCGAGTAACGCTCTTTTTTTTCCTCCAAACCGCACAGGCGGTGATATAAGATCACTTTTCGCTCCCATTGTGCTTACGCGAGTATTTCATCGCGTTTCAGTGCCCGTTGCACTCCACCGCGATGTGACGAGGAGAAACGTGTATTTCTTTGTGCTTTCTACGATTTATTCCACCGTTAGCGCGCGATAACGAGAACGTTGGCCGACGGTTGGCCGAGGGAAAAGTTCGGTAGCGGCGAACGAGCCGCGCCAATGGTTTAACGCGACCGGGTTCAGTCAGTCACCGGAGGGTATACAAGTTCACGACATCATCCCATAAAGATTCATTAAGGTCCGCCGTTCTCTATATTCGTTCTGTCGTGCCAACATTATGGTGCCGCGTGGCGTGCCAGTTCGGCCGGGCGTGCACGCACATACATACGTGCGCAGGAGCGGAGAAACAAAACGGTTGATCAATAGCAATCATAAGCGCGGGCTACGCCGAACGGAGAGGATCGGGCGAGAAGAAGAGACCGATGACCGCTGATGATCGGAGAAACGCGAGAGGGGGGGAACAATGAATGGCGGCTTCTGAAACGATGCTGCGCGGTAACGCTCGAGTTAAGAGGCAGCCTCGTCTTGCGTCTTCGTCGATGCGAGCGCGAGCGCGTGCGAGCGGCGGTTTTGTGACGAGATACGAGATCTGCCGCGCGAGATTTGTCGCGGAAAAATGTTGACGAGGGCCTCGCGCGAGAGTTTCCTTCGGCACGCGTGCCGATCCTTTTAATTCCGCCGAGCACTTAGCCGTACAAGCGCGCGAGCCCTCGCAAGGTGAATGGCCTAGTCGTGCGTCGATAATTGTCACTTAAGCACAAGTGACGCAAATTAATGCTTTTGGAAAGCGATGTGCCCCCGAGATTAAGAAATCGCACGGTCCATACTAGATCGCCGTCGTTCCTACGTCGCTTTCTTGGTGCGACGAGGTGCCGAATGTAGGACAATCTTCCCGCCACATCCAAATTACAAAATAATATTGGCCAATTGCCGCGGTAATGACGTCGCCTAATGGAAATTTCGCGTGCCGATGGCGTTTCACCAATATTTCTGAACAGTTAATCGCAAGTTTCGGAGCGTTCAAGGGAACGAATTTCATTAAGAGAAATAAAATGTTGCCTAATACGTTGTCATACATCAGTGTCTTGCCGCTGGCCGAATTTGCTGATAAAAATTGCAAGGGGGGTAACCGCTTGATGTAATCGTGGGACAGTGTCCCCGAAATCATTATGAAAGCCTTACGAAATCCCCGTGTAATCGTTTGGTCTTAATTTTCACGTTTCCTCGCTTGTTAGACGATAAACATGAAATTTGAACATTTTCTCAGCTTGCTTTCATTTTCCCAAAAAATTTACTTCTTTTAGTGAATATCCAAATACCTATAAGCGCGTATTCTTTTCACAATAAGACTGAAGTAGTTGCTGTTGGAACGACGGCGAGTTGAAACGTTGATGCACCTTTGCGCGCAAATTTGGAACAATAGACGGTGAGCACAAATACAAAATTACTTTTCGTTAAGACCGCGGTTAGACTAGCGAGAAAAGCGGGAAGCGAGGAAACACGTGACCGAACACCACAATCTTAACTGAAATTATCTCTGCAAGCAAATACTTCTTAGTGAAATGGGAAAAGTATTTTAGGTTTAACACGTTACATATTTTTAAATGTGCACACAAGAAAATTATTTGCAATTAGAGGAGATTATTTGTAATCGGTGGGACGACATTTCACCTGGCGGTTACCCCCTTGAAAAAATTGTCCTTGCTCTCCCGCGTACACGGCACACATCCGACGATGTTAAGTCATCTTCAGATTTAATATCCACGAATTGAGCGTGCGTGTATCGCGCGCACGGGTTACAGCTAGTTCGTGACCAGATATCAATCTCCGCGCGCGCGAGATCTGTCGTGAGAGAGCGTAGAAGCCAAGAGTTTCGCACGTGGCCGCTATAGAAAGCGCAGCCGCGTCGACGCACGCGAGATCGCGAGAGGAAGAGTGAGAAAGAGAGAGAGGGGGGGGGGGGGGGAGAAAAATTGATGGCTCTCCTGCGCAGCGACAGGAACATGATAATCCGCAATCGGCGCTTTCACCGGGCGACGATAGCGCGCGCGTTTGGAAAACGTCCGATATGTGAGATACGCTCTCCGCCTGTCTCGCTCCCGTTTCCTTACGTAAGCGCGATCCGATAGACGATCGACGTCTCGGGAAATGCAAATTGTTCTTTTTTTTCCTCGCTTACAAAACGGGAGTACGCGCAGAAGTGACGGACGTGGACGTACGCGTTTCGTTTAGCATAACGTAGTCGCGTAATCGATTAGAGGTGCGAAAAGAATTTAATTGACATACATTAGATTCGCGGAAATATCGCCGAGCTTTGACAAATCGCGCCTGTCAACATAAATTATGGCCGCGTGATAAGACCGGCGGCATTTATAATTATCGATTAGTTGAATTATTATCAGAGATTAAATTAAATTATTGGATCTCGCGCGCGTGAGACGCGACACTTTCGTTCTCGATATCGCGACGTGTACATACACGCGCGATTTCTCATTGGGCCGCAGAAAAATTCACGTGGCAAAGTCGGAAGAACTTGTTGATCGCGCATGGCCGATCAATTATGTCGCGCATCTCTTTCCAATTGCAACGCTGCACGTACGTGTACGTCATTAACGCGAGAGCACGTCCGCGGGCTTCGAGAAGCGAGGAAACGATACGAGCGTTGAATACATTAACAATCGCGACGAATAATCGCTTACATCGCCGCCTCGTGTCGCGCAAATGCGCTCCGAAATGTCGTTAAATGATATAACGAATCGATTCGTCTCTGATGTTAACGGAGAGACGCTGCTCTTCCACCTATTTCTAAACCACCGAATCTAGTAAGCCACCAAAGTTTACGGGTTTCATTACGGGTATTTTTACCTACTTATCGATAAATTGAACGACGGCTGAATTGAAGATAGCAAATCATCATCTGGAAATTGATGCACTCGGAAAAAAGATTTAGTTAGATTAAACAAATGAAATACGTTGAAATCATATTTCGTTGAATCTACTAAATTTAGGGTAATAGGCGACGTTTTAAAGTAATTCACTTAAATTTTACTCTTTTATATACTTACAACTTTTTTGCTATATTGCCGATATCATCAAAAGCACCGATGCGCTTTTATGTCGCTTATTAGCGACCCAACAAATTGCTGATCCGAATTTGGTCACCTTACCCGATATTTACTTCTACTAAAACATTTGCTAGATTCGAAGGAACAGATATGAGTTCTCTTATCCAGTCTTCATCCGGGAAAATTTTGGTTAAGGTAGAGAAATTAGTTGTTTGAAAGTAAACGCAAGTCTAATAAGGTCAGAATTTAAACAAATTTGTTTTTTTCTCTGGGCACAGTGTAACACCGTGAAATTCGCAAACTTATTGTCGCACGAGGCGACCAGTTGTAGGGCGCTGCAATCTTCAAGTATTACGTAAGAGTGTCGATAATGCAATTGTTTTAGGTCACTCAGTCCTCTTTAGGGGTCCGTCCCTCCGTAAAAGGCGAATATTGACGCATGTAGACTTCCTTATTCGTACAACAGTTACTCGCGCTGGCTGGTTACTTAATGCCGAGATACTATCGATACATCCGGGGGTTGTCATCGTACGACGCGCTATCTGCTCGATTCGTTTTTCCTTCCTCCTTTCGTTCCACTCGCGATTCTTCTCGTCCCCCCTTTCGCGGCTGTGGCTCCTCATTAACGTGCCAGCTTGTTCGCCGCGAGATATCATCGTCCTTTTTTTTTCTCGGTCGCCTCCTGCCACGATGACTGACAACGACATCATCGGCGGGTCTAATTTGTATTCCGTCATTCGTTAAACGACGATCTCGCGAGCGAACGCTTCTCCAAACTTGCCAGCCGCGCGTTGCACGGGAAATCGTCGGCGCCGCTTCGGCGACGGCCGACGAAATTTTCGAATCGTTCTTTCGGAAAAAAAGCCTGCTTGGAAAATGTTACGAGCTCGGCTCCGAACCGCGGTGCCGCGGCGAGTATCGTTTAGGAGCGATACAAACTGGCACCTCGCATTTATTCTAGATCAATGGACATATATACAATAAAAATCAGAATGCGAGCGATACATTTGACATACGTATTTTTTTTTTAAATGTCCACCGCCACGCGACATTTATGTCGCCTCATCCATCGTCCGGCGGACACTTTCATGAAAGCTTCGATGGAGACGTCACGTGTGTCAGCCCGGAATGTTTTCCAGAACGGGCTGGAAACGCGCGCGCGCGCGCTCGCTCGCCGATACGTGGGAAGAGCACGGCTCGGGGCATTAACATATCGTGTCGCAATCGCTCGCGGATATAAACACGTTCCTCCTCGCAGTGGTTATAAAAGATTCTATCTCGGCCTGGCTGACCGATCGCGATACACGGCCTCGAGGAACTATGC